TGACACGAAGCCGCTGGTGGGACGATCGAAGCAGACTGTTCTAGGGGTGAACTTGCGGTGGAAGTAACAGGGGGTACATGGTCCTTTGAAATTTCCTTCTTCTTTTTCTTGAATTCACTTCTTGGCTGTGTCACATTCTCACTCTTCCCCACCGGTTTAATAGCCGCCTTTGGGCCTTCCATCTTGCGTGCATCTTTAACGATTTCGATCACTTCTATCCCATCATCATCCGCCTTCATTACTGCGGACATGGAACTCACTTTGGTGATGGTACTAGGCTGGTCCAAACTTGTGTCGTGAAGTATTCGTTGCTTCAGATTCATGATGGATTTTGTGGTGATTGGTGACGACACGGTCGTAGTTACCGAAGACTGAGACGACGATGGCAAGGAAGGCGTGACACTAATGCAATCAGGAATGTTCATTAATGGTAATGAAGTCACTGCCACCGGTTTCTGAATGTTACCCGATGTAGTAATCGACTCAACAGGACTACTTTTAGCCTTACTTGTACTACTGGAGATGCTGCTAACTGTGACAGATCTACTTACATTGGAAGATGATAAATCAAGCGTTTTGGGGGATATTCTCTCAACAGCTAGTTTCTGCTTAACACCTGACAAGTTCAGTTGTTTCTCTGACTGAAAACTAGGACTGCTCTTCCCTGACAAGTTTGGGACCTTGGCTATTGTAACATCACCGCCACTTTTCTTCCTGTTAGGAACCGAATGTGATGTTACCACCTGCAAACTTGACAGTTTAGTAGAGTTTGTACTAGTGGGAGAATTTCGAACACTGCTAGCAATGTAACTAGGAGAAACGGACGACGGCACCGACAAACTGGAGCAGACGACATGTACTTGAGAATTAGAAATCTGTGATGAAGGGGTTGAGCACTTAGTCCTCATTGTAACGTTTGCTGAAACACCATGAGGGAACACTGAACTCACTTCTGAAGTGACAACAGATTTCATTTTGGCAGTATTTTGTATCTGAGAGGTAGAACTGCCAGTGCCAGAAGTTACGGGCACCGGTGTCATCGTGATCGATACAGGCTGAGATGTCTTCATTCTTGCATTGCTGCTGGCAGTAGAAGTTTGTGAAAAGGCAGTGATAGATTGAACTAGAGCGTTAGTTACAGGCCCATGGTACAATGGTGGCACTGCTGTAAGTTTCTTAACTGGTGCAGACTTCTTCTGTTTCGTGCTGCAACGCAAAGCATAAACAAAACAATTAATTCCAAACTAATAAGAATTTCAGCTGACAATTATTAAGGTGATGAAAAATTCTGTAGCAGACTCGTATTTGAAACGAGTTGCGCTAAATACACTATGATACTGGTGGCTTTCTCTGACAAACAGAATGTATTACATCCTGTACAAATTTTTACCTCTCCTCTCACTACAATACATGAAAGCAACTTACACCATTAAATTTCTACTTACACTGCAGTGACATGGGCTTCCCTGCTCTCCCGCAGAAGGGTGGACACCTTCATCCAGCCAGGATGCCAAAGAGGCTTCACTTCCATCTCCAGAAAGTTACGTAAATTCAAATCAGCCGATTCCTTGCGAGGTTTAACAAGTTCCAGGCATTGCAGTTTGATACGGACCACTTCACACAGCAGTGACCTGTTTACAAGATACCTATATCACCACCTTTCACAGTATTAAGCCAATTAGAATACTACAAAACAGAATCTTTGCACCCCCGAAAGCAATTCCTTCAACTATTAAAGTTATGGAAACTAAATGATAAAATTTAAAACATGCCCACTCACTACTCCTAGTGACACTTTTTAATGCTTTAGACTTCTGAGGCCGTAATTCGTATCTAACCGACACAAACGTCAGCAAACTGACTGGTAAATACAGTAAGACCAACCACATTCTTGCCAAGAAAAATATTCCTCTATTTAGACTAGTTAAGAACAAATTTGGTCTGAAGGTTGCCAGTACCTGCCACATCCCTCGTGAATGTGGCAAAGTTCATGTGGGGGCGGACTGGCAGAACCATCACACAATGGGAAAAGTCATTTTACAATCGTAATACCGCAGTATTAGTCCAGCCAAACCACGCAAACACCACAATAACATTGCAATGCACGCCCAATGAAGGCGAAGGGACTATTCCTCATACAATGCACCTAACATATTGCTATAACAATATTTTCACATTTCTAACAAACAGCAAACAACGAGAAGTGTCAATCCGTTTCAATATAAACAACCAATAAGTTCGCACCAATGTCACATCACATTTTACGCTGATAATAAAATCTGAACTGAAAATTAAAAAAACGGAATGAAAATGAGCTGATAACATGCATTTTCCACATTGACAGAAAAATTACATCCCTACTAAAAATACTACCCTATTTATAAAGAAAAAATTAAGATAGTGAACAATCATTGAGAAGATCAAGGATTAAGTTGAGAGAGGAATACAAAAGACACGTAGAAAAAGATTGGGCGCTATTACAAGAGACGCTGTGGCAGGATAGAAAATATGGAGGCTTTATCATAAGATGGCCCATTCTAGTGGAAACATAAGTGTACGACGACTCTGAAAAAAATAGTTCATAATCGAATCGAGTTGTAGCAATGTTAACCTCTTACCTGACTTCATGTGTAAATGGAAACTTCCTCCTTGGGACTCTGGACTTCTGGACAGCAGTTTTGTTCTCACCATCTCCAACTTCACTGTCACTGCTCAACGAAGGCAACTCTTCAATTCCCCTACACATAATTCAACATTACATCTTCTCACACTCCTCCAGCTTTCCTTCCTTAATCTAATGTGATACGTATGCATTCAAGAACCACATAAATAGCGCTTACTTGTACTCCCATTAATCCTTCATAGACATGAGGGGTTAACGAAGGATCTGATTTGAAAAGGGAATTATGAGTTAAAACCTCTACAGAATGCATATGACACGACATAAAAAGTAAGAAAAGAAGCGTCTAGTGATGAAGCTATGAACATCTATAAAATTACTTAACGGATAAATAATTTTTAAAAATACCCCACGACGATCCTGTACATGCTGTGTCACCGTCAGTGAAAAGAAGTCACTCGGCGATGCATTAGTGAGCAGTCACCTGAATGTTGGCATTTGGACATCCGAGTAATATTTAACCCCCTCTGCACAGTAAAAGCTGCTTACAATAGAATTCTGCGTGACCTGAACATTCTTGTTTCATATTTTGCACAGGATTCTGGTTCTATAATTTCAGCTGGTGTTTTATTGAGGTTGGGTGGTTATGGTTTGATTTGTGTTATAGTTTTTTAGTTAATTTTTCTTTTAATTTTTTTTTTTTTTTTTTGGAAGGGGGCCTATTAGTTTATTAGGTGGTTTTTACATTTAATTTTCCTTTTTCCTTTAAACACTACTGTCAGAAGTACATTATGTATTTTGAACACAATTGTCACTTGTTTACACTTAATTCTTCCCCAACTGTGACAAGATGTTCCTTCTCAGATAAATTCCAGGAAAAGAATATATAACGAGAAAGCCAACATTTTTTCAAGCAGACTATTTCCTTCTGAATTTCAGTTTTCTAAGACCATTTCCACATTAAACTGTTTCTATTTATTAGTAAACATTTAACACTGGTCTCTCTATAAGAGAAACTTTTGGTTAGAGATAGATTTTTATGTGATCAATGTTCTGTTTGACATGTTTTGCCGTCATTACATTTATAATTTTGTCCCTATTTTTGCATGTTAACTTTCTCAAAACAATAAAAACAAAAACAAAAACATTATTACAGCACTGTACATACTTGGCATAGCAGTTTTGTTTCCCACATGACGCAAGAATATTATCAATAACGGCTGAAGATTAAACTAAATTCAATAATTCTTTAAAATTTATATTTATTGTTTGAACATCCTCTTATTCACACATAAAGAATTTCTCATTCAAAAAAGTAACCCAACACCTTGATACCTCCCTCCACGAACAGGTTAAACACTTCTGCCACCACAACCAGCAAGAGCCCTGACACCTCAATACAGTAGTGCACACCATACCAATAAGCAATGGTGAAGTACATCAGATGAAAGAAATTTACATAACGTTTGATGAAAAGGTGAGTTAAATAGGAGCTCAGGCTTCTACTGCAGCAACTAGAGACTGACTCATCATCTGACGCCATTAATATTCGTCAGACCAGAAAAATACTTCGAAGGAAAATATTTAAATAAAATTATAATATAAAACCATCAAATAAATCCTTAAAAAATTTAGCAAACTTAAAACATTTTGGAACAATAGTAATAAGTCAAAATTGGATTTACAGAAGAGAAATTAAAGGAGCAGATTGCGTTCTAGGAATGCAATCTGCTACCATGCAGTTCAAAAAATTTTGTTTTCCTGCCTACCTAAAAATTTGAAGATAAAAAAATAAAACTATAATTTTACCCTTCACATTACACGAAACTTGATCTCTTACACCAAGGGAAGAAAACTAATTAATGGTCCTGAGGAAAATATTTAGACCCATCACAAATAAAGTGAGGAGAGACTGAAGAAAATTTGTACTCTTCGCGTAACTGTTTAGAATTAAATTTGGCACAATACAATGGGCAGGTCTCACAGTGCACACTGACGGAAATCAAAATGCGTTGAAAACATTGGCTGGAAAAACTTAAGGAAGACCAATAGGAAGACCTCAAGAATAAATGGAAGGATAATATTAAAATTGAAGGAAACATGGTGGGAGGGTGTGCACTGCATTTACCTGGCCCATGGCAGAGACCAATACTGGACTCTTGCAACATGGTAATAATCCTTCAGGTTCCCTAAAAGGCAGAGAATTTGACATCTTCTCAATATGGACTCTGCTCCATGACATTATGTACTTAGATCGGTTTTATTCAAATTAGTAAATGTTTCCAAATTAAATTAGAGTTATAACGCCAATTTTCTTTTTAAAAAATGGAGCTTTATAGCAGCTGGATTATTAGCACAAAAGCTGCATATAGTAGCCTGAGGTATTATTTGAATATTAGCAGTGTAAAAATGAAAGGCGCTGACCCCATGCAATGGAGCTAAGACTGCCCTCAACTGATTACTCATACCACTGCCTCCAACAGAAACAAATGCAGGCCTCACTCGAAGTCATCATCACCAGTACGATCACATAAACACGCCAAGTTTTAACCTAATTTTGAAATCTCAAAATCTTTCTTTACATTAAAGTAAATTCAACAATTTATAACACAACAAAGCTTTATCTGAATAATATATAATGTGGTACAATGTTTAGAAAAAGGATTCCTAAATCTTTCTGCTGTAAAAAGAATCATAACATGTGACACTTAAAAAGTAAAAAATGCGAAGGAAAACCTTGATTTAACGTGTCAGATTTTAAATACTGAACACAAGCAGCACTGCACTACCCCAATCATAAAATAGAAACAGTAGAATCAATTATATTTAATATACCACCCAATACAATTATTATATCAGATGGTATATTAAATATAATTGAAAATGATAAATACAGTGGTAAAAAATTTCTGATTTAAAAAAGCACACACATTCATAACATCCTAGGTTTTCATCTGTATCACGGCATGGGATCCAGAGCCTGAATAAATCTCATTATAACTAAACATAAATTCCTAAAAACATGTAACTGAGCACTATTTACATAAGAATCAGTTGTTGATTTCAAAATATAAATTGCCTGTTTCATGAAGCATAATGTTGCAAATTTTACTAAATTTAATTCTAAGAAATACAATACATATGTTCAGTAACTTCTAGGAATTGTTAAAGTGACATTTAACCGTATCGACCTCACAATATGAAAGAAATATGTATTAATGTTTAAATTTTCTCTACCCCTGACACAATTCATATACGATGGGAGATTCTAACATTTCTACCACTTCAATTAAATGCTGAGGGGATACAGTCAATGTGAATAATGTTGCCAAGTCCGCATCCATGTCGCATATAATCCCACATACGACACTTTGCGACACCCAAATGGAATCCAACTCTTCTATGCAAAAACGCTTAGGAAAAAGTTGTACACAATTACTGGTACGTAAGTGATACGACCAATTGGCAACATGTGAAACACTAAAGAGAAAGTGTAGATGGGCGGAAAAAAATCAGAATTGGTTTCTGCATCATGGCCGGGATAGCTCAGTCAGTATAGTGACTAGCTAGGGACTGGACAACCGGGGTTTGATCCCCGACGGCGGCAGAGGATTTTTCCTCTAGCCTCTGCGTCCAGACCAGCTCTGGGGCCCACCAAGCCTTCTCTACAATGGGTACCGGGGTCCTTTCCCGGGGGTAAAGCCGGCCGGGGCGTGATGCTGACTACTCACCCCCATCTAGTGCCGAGGTCAAGGAAGAGAGGAGCTATACCTCCTCTCACCCCAAGCGCCTACATGGCGTATAGCGGGACAAACTTTTAATGATCATTATTCTTCTGACTTTAACACAACTTAAAGCCAACAGTTTAAAATATGACTATTATTTGTACCGCACAACTTCAGACAGGCAGAGTGCCGGTCTTTTCAAAAATAAATGTTGTTTACCAATCCATGAATCCAAAAGGAATGAAAACCACTGATTTATCACAATCTTTTCTAAATATTAAAACAGAGTAGGCAAATTATATCAAGGTTTTCACTTACATCTCAATGACAGGAACAACAGTAAGCTTTTCTGCAAGATTTTATACACATCATAAAGGTCAGTTCATAATAAAATCATTTGATATATGTTTCAAAATATTCCAATTGTATCTTCCATACTGAAATGAAGAAAATTCATATCCAGAATGCACCCTGTTGACCTACTCAACTGATAGACTGGTACCTTTACATAACTAACAATTTTTTTTACTAATAAATATCTTATGTTGTTGAACTGATTGTGAACGATAATGACGGACAAAATTTCAAATCTTCCACCTGTCCACCAAACTACGCCCAAAATTGTAAGGTAAATGTTCAAGTACACCGTAGAAATTGCTAATTACTAACTCAACAACGCTGCTTATACAATCGTCACATTACTGACTTGAACGACATGTTTCCAAGAGTCGACTGAGGAGGACAAGACGGTGCAAACATTTATAAACATTTAAACATTTCAGTATACATAAAGCTGAAACTGCAAATATCAGTATATTATATTTCTACTCCTGTTAATTTAGAGTAATAAAGATAAACAAATTACAAAAATGTTCCAGTAACAACGAACTGCTGTGAGGTTAGAATCTGTTTGGACAGTGGGAAAATTCTGAACAATACCATTACGCCAACATAAAGTACAGTCGACAAATACTCCTAGATTTGAACAGGACATACCCAGCAGATGCATCTCTCATAAATAAAAGGCTAAGTGGGCCCTCAATACTATCTAACCTACCCCATCTCAACCACCCTCATCTAACACAACGGAACATTACAAAACCCAACATAACCCACAAAGGGGCTCCTCTCCTACCACGCAGGCAGATGGACAGACATGACCAGAAATGTACGCATTCATTTCATGCACTGTGCGCAAAGAACGCATAATAATGAAAGGTTATTATTATTATTATTATTTAGTGTTCTGTCTGACGACAGGTCCATATGAACAGGATCCTTCCATCCTTTTCTCGGACTGGGACCTGTTCATATACGTTCTTGGCAGATGATCCAGAAGTGGTTTCCCATTGCCTTCTTCTGTGTGTGAATGGAGTAATTGTTGGGATGCCACGGAGGAAAACTCCGTGTTGCCTAGACCACGGCCTTGCCCAACACAAGTTATAAATTCGGGCACCGCCGGGAATTGAACCCGAGACCCCAGGATTACAAGGCCAGCGTCCTAACCGCTAGACCACCGTGGCGTTACAATGAAAGGTAGGATAATATTAATTAATATGAAGAAATCGGTGAAAGAGAACAGCTACAGACAGAGTTCTAGAAATACCCTCCTTGTCCGCATATCCACGAGAATTGCAAAACTGTGTGTGTGTTCAGGGATCTGATGAGTAAATATTTTATGTGATCAATGAACTAACCTAAAGTTGCTGATCCCTCGTCATTATATGAAGGATTCATGGAATATGACCAGAAGGGATGAAGAAACCTCAACAACGCGAGTAAGTTTCCTGATGTGAACAAAGAACCTCTTGAATATGAAGTAGCGAAGCTATAAACCATGGCACGATATAAAAATGCATCATGAGGTCCTGATTCAGAAATAAACAATTTTCTAACATCCAAACAGATTCCAAATCCGTCATTGTGAACTGGCCCTTCATCAACCACGACAGAAATGGTTATACAGTTTTCCCATTCCTCATGCCTAAAACGAAATAAAAAGCACTGGTGTACCAAGCATATGAAAATAAGGCAAAGCACCACTGGTGTAAAAGCCCCGATTTTAATTATCATCCCATTATGGGGGGTCTCTTACCAGTAGTACCTATATAACTCCCAGTATATTTGTGGGCTGTTTGAAAAAACAAAAGAACATCACATGTCAGCACTCATACTTGAATGAAGCAATACATTTTAAGAAAGTAATATGTAGTGACAACAGTGCAAAACTAAAAATGTTAAACTAATTAATCACTGTCTAGGTACTCAGTGCTGGATTAAGGCTGATGGAAGAACGAGAATTCCCTCAGTTTATGGAAATCATGCAAAATCCTTGTTATAACTGAACCATTTCATCACAGTAAAATACTTCTGGCACAGACTGAATGATTAAGTTAGTAATTCCCTTGCACTTATTGCCACAACACCATGGAGCCCAAAAACACGGAATCCAATCCACATCCCTGATGACAAAACTAAAATATAATTGTAATTAAAAACACTGGATACTGGGACGACCCGTTCTTCAAGTGCCTGAGCACTGCGGGTCCCAACTTTTCGTTGGCCTGATCTATAGACATTCGGTAGAACTTGGACGAGGGATCGGCCCGTCGCAAGGCCTCTACCCATACACGGGACAGCATGACACAGAAAAACGCGGACAAACATCCATGGCTTGAGTGGGACTCGAACCCACGGTCCCAGCGACCAAGCGGCACAAGGCCCACGCCTCAGACCGTGCGGCCACTGTTGACCCCATTAAAAACACATACAAGTATTTAAAATAGCATCTCTTTAACCTTTATCTTAGGGAAATAATAGATTTAAATCCCTGTAAGGTTGCAGTACAGCAGTGGACCATCCCAAAACTTCCTGGCCAAAATATTAGGTGTACACACTCCACTAGTTCTGTTCAAAACACAGTTGTATTTTCCACTTTCTTCACTGTTATTTCATATTAGAGTAAAGTGCAGGACTTTTTTATTGTCAGATTACGCACGTGGCAGCATGCTTCCTTACAGTACGCCCAATCTAAGACGACAAAAGCGCAGTGGCTTTCTCAACGCGTTGTGACCGAAATCAAACGATTATAATCATGATGATGTTGATAATGACATATAACACCTTTCCAGAATGTCCAAATGGCAATCTGACCAACAGCTTCCATATTCTTATGCAAAGATTTGTTTTTATCCTTCGAAGCGGCAGACTGACCGACAGGCAACTGATTTTATCCTTACTGTTTCCTCTCCTACAGGTTGCCTTAACAAAATGGAACTTTTCAGTTACACGTCTTGTGAGGGACTCTGCCACCATGGAAGAATACAATAATCCTTTGCATTAGAATATAAAAGCTATAGGTCAGATTATCAATGAGGCATTCTGAAATGGTGTTACGTAATAATCATTTAATTTTGGCCAAAACACGTTGAGGAACCAAAAGCACTCCAATCATTTTCAAATGCAAATAAGGGAATTCAAATGAAAGTGTGTTGTTTTAATAACTCTGTATTAAGTGTCGTCAGTGTCATTATGACCTCACAAGTTCGTGCCTCTACCATGTATTTACTACTGACTTTAATGAATTACATAGCATTAGGTTGCCACGGTCTCCAACGGCATTGTCTGTATACCTAAATTTCAGGAACAAGAAAACAAGGTTAAATCCTACTGTGAGGGACAGCAGATAATACCCAATCATGGGTAAGGGGTTAAAGTCCTCCCACCTACCATTCCTTATCCAGCACTGTATGTATTTTCACTTAATTACCTTAAAATTACATTTTAATCCATGTTCATAGCTCTTATGTACCTTGCATTTATATGTTCATATCAAGAAAATTTATTTGTACATGTAGACGAAGGGCATTTTATTCTTAAAATAAATAAAAAAATTGGATATAACATGGACACAATACTTACTTCTCTTCAGCAACTCTTTGGCATTCTTTTGAATAATTCTCCAAAACAGCCGGCATCATTCTATCAATTATAGTTTTCAATCTGAAAACAATAGTTTTAATCAATTATTCAATTCAATATTCGTTATCTTTGCACAGCTGCTGCACATCCTCAGAAAGTTTGAGGACCAACTGCACCAAGTTTTCTACAAGATTGTGAGTGCTAGCTCCATTGAGCCTCACCATCTCCAGCTTATCAGCGAGAGAGTCACAATCCCCAACGTCTGTCAGAATCGGTCCCTTTACAGGAGACACTACCTTCTTAGCAAGCTCCGAGGCAGAGGCAGAACGAGAGTTCCTTGGCGGTGTGTTTACACCACTAACGCCTCAAAGCGCATTTACACACTTTGCGCAATTGTAGGTGGAAACACCATCAGACAAAAAGAATGAATACTCCACCTCACTCATTTTCAAGCAAGTGACATGAAAACGTGAAGCACACGGCCCACAACATCTAATATGTTTCTGCTTTCCGTAGAGAGCCTTCTTGCACACGTCGCAAGTATCGCCGCTAGCGGTCATTGCCCCGGAATACTGCAGTCAGCCGATTCCTTTATAACTGCACCACGTTGTAAAGGCACAGCACGGGCACTAGCAAGACACGTCCACTCACTACGAATATTTAGATAATTATCAATAATATGATAAGATGTTATCATGACAGCCTTATCATAAAATATAAAATATATAAGACACTTACTTTCTCATGAGCTCATGAATTTTATCTTCTTCAGCTTTAATCCGAAGTTTCTTGGCCCTCTTGATGAGGGTGTCCTTGGTGCAAGGAAGATAAGTTGCCAAATGACCATACACAGCCTGGCGAGCACTGCATGGCAAAACTCGACATTTGTGCTCCAACCTACAGAGCAATTAACCAGAATGTATGTAGACACCTTCAATGAACAATGACACAGGTAAACCAAACTACAGCAGTAGCATCACTTGAAGCAAAAATTTATTGGAGAAACAACCGATTCCAACATTCATTAAAATGCATTTATCAGTACTGAGGAACCAGCGTAAATTACAAATTAGTCTTCTTGGATGTTTGAACTAACAGAATTCCACACAATCAAAAAAAAACATGAACAAAGAATACGTAGACTGACTGACTCTTAGGCCGCTTAATGGAGCATTATCAAATGTACAGGTTACAGCACTTGAATGGTGGACAGGTAAGGATTTGGAAGGTAACAGGTATTTGAAGTTATTATTCCACATTTTATTGGAGGAGCTGAGGAAAATCAAGAAAAACTTCACTTATAAGAGCCTATAATCTGGCTGATATTAAAACTAGGTACCCACAAAATATAGGCGTACCATTTAAAATACAATCCAACGACAATCGTACACTACAGAAAAAACATTACATCAGAAGCAAGTCCAGCCTCTCTCAACCTCTCCCGTCTGACACTAGAGTCAAGGTCACCCTGGATGCTAGGCTACTGCTCACATTAGTGCAAAAGCTGGTGACTGTCCAATGTCTATCACATAAAACAACTGTACTCACGTTCATCAACCACGCACTTTGTCATGTTTTAAGTGATCAAGGTTATTCTCCTATTAAAAAATGTAAACAGGAGATGAGGCAGGAACTTCTTTATCATTACTGCACATAATTAAGAATCACCCTATACATCCCCAAACCACCTGCCAACCCAGGCCCTTCACATCCCCTACTGACTCTTGAATTGAGCACATTGGGTCTCGTACGTCTACCTACCCACAATTCCTAGTGGTTGCAGTTTCCTGTAACTCCTCTTAAATTTCTCCTGTAACTACCAGAGGCCTGGTCAGTTTCATTCTGTTTTTGTGTCTTTGTCGCTATATCACTCTGCGACTCTCCTATCTCACTTTTTCTCCAGGGCTTGAGTACCTCAGTGACCCCAAGAGCTACGCTGGCGGTAGCACAGCTACTGGTAGGGCCTCCCTAGCCAGATTGGTCGAGGGGGAGAGGTCAGACTAAGACAGGTACACTGGTCCTCCAGGTTGAAGGTTGGTCGCAAGGCTAACAACCTTGCACCGTAAAAAGGAAGATGTTTCGAAACCCCGATCAAAGCCTCGGACAGACGGACCTAACAGAGGACCGAATGGAAGAGGAGAATTGAGGAGGCCATGGACCAAATACGGACCAGAGAGCCATAGAAGAAGAAGAGAATAATAAATACTTCTTATAGAAAGGCCTGGTGTACTCTTTGCCAAACCTTGACACCTGCTGGTAGAAGAGGATTGACTAAGTAAGTGTTTAATGATCAAACTTATCCAACTACAGAATAACTTAATATATTAATTTACCTCAAAAGCATATTGTTGACCTCTGTGGAAAAAAATTTGCACTTGCCCTCCGCCGACGATTCGGACGCACGCCTCTTCAATGCCACAACCAATTCTTTCAGATCCTCCTCCAGATGATCTGGAAGTTTCACCTCCTCATTTGCTGAGCTCTTATCCTTTTCCTCCACATCAAGGCTCTCTTCAGAGTCTGTTGTAATGAGTGAACCTTCAGACACAAATTTGTGAAGTTACGATCACAAACTACTTACAAAGCAGAGAATAAACATCAAAGTCAAAACTCGAACAACCCAGAAGACCACAATCTACACATTCGCTACTTTTATAAACTGAAATCTTTATATCCTTCATAGGAGAGCATCACGGTAAGCAACAAAAACTGATTTGATTCACCACTTGACAAGATACAGCAGCGCTAGTTGACACACAATTGTGCATGTACCCTCAGAAAATACTATGTTGCTGTGCCACCATTCATCCTGAAAATTCTAACATATTTCCAGCAACTTCTCTCTGACAAGCGACTTCAGCCCTCATGTTCAGGAACAGTAAGTTGTACGAGTGGCTTGTCAAATCCTCGATCCAGCCAGTCCATACCTGACTTTGAGATGGAACTTGCACTGTCCTTGCTTGTATCATCTTCTCGAGCTGCACTGACTACCGATTCAATGGTGTCGGTGATGGACGTGTTACTTGGTTTCGCGACGGCAGCAGGACTCGAGACGGCCGGCTTCTTCTGTTCTGGTGAAACCTGTACACCTGCAAGTAGAATGTGACATAAAGGTAATATAACTTAGCCAGAAAATTTTGAGTGTACAGCCCACCAATATAACAAAACAATTAATTAATTACTAATTCTTAAGTAACATTTCTGATGTCTGTAATTTTTATAAAATCTGTTTGAAGTACTTATCACTAGGTCTCTCTTTCTGCGAGAATTCTAATGTTATTACTAAACTTTTCATAGTATTTATCACATCATATTATCAGTTTAGTTTTAATGTTATATAATATTATAATTCAGGTGTTGTTCCAACAGTTAGCATTAGTGACATGTAATTCATGTAACTGTGCATGAAACATCACACTCAGGCAATGTCCTACGTAAGCGATAACAAGTGAGCTGCATAAGCAGCATGGGGTGTCGTATGAAGCGGGGAATTGCTTGTTGTGTCCTACGTGGGAGACCGCAATAGAAGCACACGGACTTCCTGCGAATAAATGCACCTTCCATGTACTGCACGTTCAGAGCTTTCTTGAGCATGCACCTTACTGGCCAGCACAGCGACTCGCGCGAAAATATTTGTCTATAAGATAAGTTAAAGCAGTTCAGGATTCCAACAGCCCAATTTGAAACATTAAAGCCAAACATTGACTCACATCAGCACTGGGTATTACTCGTCGACAGATTATTAGCACGTACTTTATTTAATAACAGTTTCTGAACTGAGTCCAGAATTAGCCTGGAAGAATTAAGGAGGACATGAAAACCTCAGAGAACCACAAAATGAAATATGGCATAAGAATGCTAATCATTCAAACACAGCATTCAGTAAGATTCAAACTGTGCACACAAAAAGACTCTTAGCAATCAAGAAATTAAAAATCATACCAGATACAGTCTGCAGCTCCAAAGACTCCCGTTTCTCCCTCAGCAAATCCTTCACCGTAACAGACTTCTTTTTAACCAAATCATCAATAGCACGCTTCTTTTTCTTCTTAAGGATTTCCCGGTCATGAGACACTAATTTTCTCTTCTTATAAAGTTCCTCTTCCTCCTCTCCTACTTGCACCTTTGGTTTCTAGAAGACAAAATAAAAACACGGCCAATGTCAGTTACCCACAAAAATTAAAGTTAAATTACAAGACAACTCGAGCATAAGAATGGAGTATATTTTGTGTTTAGTATTACATCATTCACGTCTTGACAGACTGAAGATGCATCCTGTGTTCAGCGCCATTTTCCTCAATGATACCCGTAAGATTTTAAATTTCTCCATTCCAGGCGAGTAAGACATGCACAATAGAAATCCTTACTTATCTTAATATTAACTGATGTATTCTGTGTACCCAGTTTTCACAAATGAGGATCCATATGGCAATATTCAGAATTTCAGCTGCCTGGGTCATGATATAACAATCCATTATGTCTGGAGTCAAGTATATGTCAATATCAAATTCTACATGACAGTATCACTATTAACATGTCAATCTACGCATTACACTTAATGCGAAGATGTCACTACACGTTTAGATTAGTTATAAGTTCCTGAATTTTATTAAAAGCTTTGATAAGCTGTTAAGTCAGCTCTTAAAATACATCAATCATGCAATCCTTCAACTCCATACTACTTTGTCATATCCACGGGAGGTTAAATGTGTCTGACGACAGCAGAGAGACAGCACATAATTACATTCTTCATGCAGTAGCATATATAAATTCCTCTTTAGGAGGTATTTTGAAAAAAATCAAGCAACAGAACTAACTTTTAATACATAGATTCAGAAAACAGATACTCTGGTGACATAAACATCGATCCCTTCAACACAAAATTTTTAATTTGTAAATTCACTGGAGAAAACATTTTCTTAAAACTCAGAACATTTAAGGAATAACTTGAAGTTACAAAACCATCTATAAATGCAGCCCCCCTGCCCTTATGCCAGTGACACAAATAGCCTCCAACAAATATAGATATCCAACATCAAAGTGAAAATGTTAGAAATGGTTCCTATTCAATGTTCAAACTGTTCCATACCAGAATAATACAGTTCAAACACATAAAAGGGGCCTGCAAATTTATCCAATTAAGACTTCCTCGATAATATTTGTCTTACAACTTTATCTGAGGCAAAAGCACAACACACATCAACTTTCTGATCATAAACGGGTACTGCTCCAATACCTATTATTTTTTAGCGCCGGTATACCCAAGCAGATGAAAATAAGCTTCATCTGTGAAAAATGTTAAGTTTTGAGTGAAGAACACTGTCATGTGCCGCCAACAGAAACCAGTCAGAAAAATGTATTCTTCTCTCATTACCGCCTTCAATTATTTGAAATCTCTCTATAATTTTGATACAATTTTCCTTAGTACAGCATTCTGTCTACCATATTTCTTGCTTGAGACAGATCCAATGGAACACGTTTTTCCACCAATTTAAAAATCATTTCTAAAATTAGAACTTGAAAACAGGATATTTACTGCAAAAAATTTACATAATTTATAGGATTTCTTTTTCACAAAAGTATATAAAAACATGCTGTTCAATTGCATGTTTCACAATCTCTGTTTATTTTTGAATAATCTTACAAGAGCGGGAAAAACAAAGAGGACTGATCTCAGCACATAAACTGCATAAAACAATGACACAGACAGTGAGTAGTAAAATAAACGACAAATCACTGCCTCTGTGCTAGCCTATGTGATGTGTAGAGCATTGTTAGCTACTGCCAGCTTGTTTTCACCAGCACTGGGCAAGCTTGATTCGGTCGATCGCAGAATTCCCTGCTCAATATTAAAGAACGAGGCAAGCTATTCATGTTTCAAGAATCATTGTTCACACCAACCCCTCATTTTATGAATCTTCGCAAAATGACTTTCATGTCAACACACCTGAAAGACTAATACTTCTCTTTTACCAGCATGCATAATAAATTTTCACTACAGCAAAAGCATGCCAACCAGAAACACAAACTTCAACTTGTATCGGTGAGTAAATCATTGTCTACGTCGAGTACTTAGCTTTCGCCATTTCTTGTTCCTTTACATACACTGCATTTCAAATTAACTGCTGCTCAAAACAAAACAACACACGCATGGGGGGACATGCAAAATACAAAATTTCAGTTTAAAAATCTGAAGAAAAGATACCTTTCGCAAGACTAGGTATACATGGGGGGATAATATTAAAAAAAGTACAGGAATACAGACAGTGTGTGTGGACTGGAGTTATATGACTCAGTACTGGGACTGGAGAAAGACAGGCACAGAAAATGGTTTTAGCAACAATAAATATGTCAACAGTGATTTCATTTTCACAAAGAAGATGGGAGTTTGGTAAGATCACATTTGTTTGACTTCTACAGATCTTGTAAAGTCATACGATAGTATAAACTGGCACAATATCTGTAAAACATTACAAAGGGAAAATGCATCCAAAAGACTACGAACATGTACGTCAAACGTGAAAACAGTGCAGTCATAGATGGCAAAATAATATGAAAGTTTCCAAACATTAACAGGGGTTAAAGACAGAAGTGCTTTGCCTCCTACGCTGTTTAACATTGTAATGAATTGGACAGAAAGACAATTGATGCTGTACGCAGACAACATATTTATGTGGAAACCCAATGATAGCACTTTCAGATAAAACATTCCAAAGGGTTGTTACTGTGTTCCAAGATTTTGGATTAAATGTCAATTTATATAAACGTGTGCCAGAAGACAGGGGTGTGTAGTAAAGACAAAATGCCCTCATATGAACATGGCAACGGAACCTTCAGTAGCATAAAAGAGAGGAAATTTGCTGACCAGTCGAGTGACTATTAGTTCCTCAGGAGTACCTCAGTTGAATGATGTTTGTCATTTGTATCAATAAATGCCTATTTCTTCGTCTAAATCCATGATAATTTAATTTTGACTGATCAATCTTCACGTCCAAGCAATGCATCCCTTTCAAAGAGAACTACATTTGTATTCAATTTATTACTACAGAAAAGTCTCTTTGGTATAAATTAATTTCATGTGATTAAGAAATGAGACATAACTTTAAAACGAAAATTGCGTCAGATATGAAGAAGTCCTTCCTCAACAGGGTAAAAATATGCCGAGCATGTACAATATATCACTCCATGCTGAAGGGTTAAAACAACATTCTTAGTCTCTAGACAAACACGACACACTCACTAGGTCAGCAACACTATATTCTCCGAACTTACCAAACGAACACAAATAACAATGTACCTACACATGTTTCAAAGTCATGCTACAAGTTATCAAACATAAATGTTTCACAATACGTGAACAAATAGCTAGCCAAACAGCCTGCTAGATATTAGATCCTACCTGATAATTACACTATCTGGAAAACTTCTACAAGGGAAAAAAATAAATGGATGCTGAATCACATACAGTGATTCAAAACAGACCGCTGGTGGGCTCTTGTGAACGTGGTAAAGAATTTCCTCCACTGAGATGACATACAGTGAATATTTATTCACAGAATATCATTAGCACACGTATGTGGTTTCTCTAACGTTCGCGTTAGTTAAACTTAAACAGGCCCCCTCAAAAAGCTGCAATGGAGTCATAATTTGGTATAAATAAAGTCAATGCAAACTCGCTCATGTGACAAGTCTATTAAGAGTTACACCAATACCTTCACACAAGCGTTCTTCCCGTAAGTGGCAAAGAAGTGCCACTCACCTGGCACTTTTAAGTCCTCCTGGTGTAACGTGTAGTTGAATTCCACCCCACCCACACCCATTTATACTGAGCTGCAGAACTATCAGAGAAATTGATTCTATTCTTCAGTGCCTGATAAATACTGTGTTTAAGAATGGTCAGTAAGTGTAGCTGGAAAGTAAAAGTTATAAAACTGTATAACCAACAACTATTAACACTGAACAGTATATTAGAGACCACACGCGTTTTGGCCCCAAGGGGTCATCTTCGGTGGCATAGATACATTTAGCCTGTTCGGCTTCAATAACTTTTCATGGGTAAACTCGTAGAAAAGCTCTATTAAAATAAATAAAGGCGGGGAAACTGTTGGTTGAGCATTAATCCAATGGTATCCTTGAGCCATCATTAAAAATAAAAGAATAATTCTCAGGAAAATCACCTAACACAGTTTTCACCTGGCAAGAATTTCTAACCCTTTTGATGAGCAAGCACTCACTAAGAAGTAGTTTCGCACTGGAGGGTTTTAGATAATAAATGTCAGACTGTGATGGCAGCTGGGTTAAACAAGATAGTTTATGTCTTTCCGATATCAGCCAGACATTCTGATGTGTTGTACATAAGCACACACTTTGCCTTCCATTTTCTCCAGCCAGGATGCAGTTTTTAGGGTGTGGAGGAGCTACTACTTAAACTGTTGTAATATTTCTGAATAATCATTTGTTCATGGCCCTGTTACTTCTCTGTCTGGAATAATTTGAAACACTTTCTCCTTTCTGCACCTTCTATTTTTGTCAGGTTAACTGCAAAGCCTTTTCAGTTTAAATGAATTTGTGATTTGTCAAAATTCAACAGACTCTCACACAACGACTGCAAAGCTGCATCACCATAATCATCAATGGATCCCAATTTAGTTTTTATGGCATTTATAACACACATTATCCTTACATGTCCAGACAGGAAAAACACTAATCGTCCATGGTCAAGACATTTTTCAAACTTTTCCTGTGTGTGCGACATCCCACTCGTTCAACAGGATTACAACACACAGAAAATTTCAGTCATGATTACATATCAACTTCAATAATCACATATTACTTGCATAAAAGAGCCTCTTATAAATGTGGAAGTGCATGTACATGCCAGTTCAAACGTGTAGACTACAATCAGCATACGTCTAAGCCTGGAAACTGCTTAAGTGAACTCACAGTACTGAACATTATAAGTTAATAACCTCTGGTCGCAAGACAGACCCGGATTGAAATTTGGAGCAGGAAGTTTTTCGACATCTAAATGTGAGTAATATAACTGAAATTATTTAGAAAACATAAATTTTAAAAATAGTCAAATTATCTTAACTTATCTCAAGTTCAAGTGGTTTAAAACTGATAAGAAAAATATAACAAATTGATTCAATAATAAATACGTCACTGCAAAACAGCATCCTGTACATCATACGTGGATGGCTATAAGATTACAACACAAATCACAGAATATGTAGTATATGACAGAGACCTCATATCTTTTATTATCCCTTGTAATCTCCGGTAATATTTTCCTTGATATAATCTATACTTTTAAGAATGGAGTGGATGAAATATACTGTTTGCGACTGTAATCTTGAGACTTGTGGGGTAAAGGAGGAATGATAGCATCTGCCTTTAACGCTTCGGACTTCCTGCATCCTTGCAAGTCTCAAGATTACAGTCGCGAACAGTACATCGGTTTATATTTTTCTTACTTTCACAATGATTTATGCAATCTAATAAGGTGCCTTCTATTAACTACATCTCGTTATCATCGTAAAAATTTTCAGTCTCTATGCATCATCTGTATGTCAAGTCTCTACTTCACAAAATAATAAAAACTTTCTTTGATCAAAAATATGTACATTGTGGATACAGAGACAGAGCAGACACCATTCCACCTTACAGACAGACATAGCCAGGTTCCAAAACGTCATACATCTTTTTGGTCCAGACAGAAAATGATGCAAGAAAATAGCCCTATCACAATACTAAATCACTGTCAAACATCGGACTCACAAGAACACATTCTGTACTACCATTCAACACCTACAAATTTCACAGCAGCAGGCAAAAGAACAAACAAAATTGGTACAGTCAACTTTCTCACCTCACTACAGCCACCTACTGGCAATGACTTGCACATGTCCGCGCGCCCTGCCCGCCCACTCGCCTGCAAATTTTTAGCGTGTTTGTGTTTCTGTAGCGAGCGAGGAAATGGTGCACAGCACGCAAACAGAGGAACAAACACTCAGTGCAGAGCTAGTGAGTTCTGAAGGGAAGGAAATATACATACAAGCAGGTTAACACAAAGAGGAGTGCGCACGCAAACCGTAGAAAGCGAGACTTCGACAAGCGGCAACACAACCGTTTGCACTAGAATGAATACATTTAATAATAGTCACTGCCAATGCTAAACGATAATGGTTCACTTATAACAAAGGTGCAGCTTTAAGTGTATTTTTAAACAACATTAACATTTGTAAGTGAATAAAACTTTCCTAGTAAAGAGATACTGATAATATTAATAGATTTGCTTCTCACATTCCTTTACAAAAATACCTGTTGCTCCAAAATAACGCCAGCCTTCGACTAGACAAGCATAGAGTCCCCAATCCTATTTCATATCTCCTTTTCAATATCACTTGTTTTATGAGTATTTTTAACTTAAAATCCACTATATGAGCACAATAAATTAAACCGGTAACTTGAAATGTGCATCCTCATCATATCTTTAATTAATTTAAATCAATCTTAATTTAAAGACACACCCAGATCCACTGAAATAAACAACAATTCAATTACAGAACAAATACAATATTTTAGGACTCAATTCTAGCATATATTTCTAAATAAAAATGAGTTTATAAGAACATTCTGTGTACATGCATTTCCACAAAATACTTCCTGAACTATAAAACCAGAATTTTTACCACCGCTAATAATCCTAATGGCAATCGGTTGTACATACTTTCTATTAAAATTAAATAGTATGGGAAGACGAGAGAGAAATATGTGCAGATTTTCCACAAAAGAGTGTCCTAAGCAAAAAATCTGACTGCGTTACCAATCCATGAGGCCATCAAAGAAGTGATGTATTATTGTCTCATCATACGTAAAAAGTCAGATGTGAAGCTCATTTCAGAATATTATGGAATGACAAAAATTATAAATAACCTATAACGAAGGTCAATTCCTGGCTGGAGATTGTAACCAAAAACCTGCCATATGCAAGTTGAGACGTTAGTATTTTGTTAGTTATAAAATATACGGCAACATGACACAGAATCTAAGGGTCACATGAAAAGGAAAAGTTCATAAAGTATTTTTCACCTCCCAACCACCCTCTTCTTTCAACTAGGTGCAGCACCGTCACATCCACCAAAATATCGTCAACTTTTCACCAAAAACATCTTCATCCGACTTCCATAAATAGTTCAAATGCTTTACCAATATCTACCAACTTAATGTTCTGTGAAAATGGTTCTGCTACAAAAATGTAGAGATAAAGTTGTCCCTGTGCCCAAGCACCACACCATGAATAGCTTGTAGGATAAGCAGAGGACGTTTAACACAAAATATGATTTATTTACTTGTTTATAATTTATTTCGCAATGCTGCCAGTAGCAGAAACTGTATAATATCAAATGATGGGGTACCTAACAATTTGGAAAGGATATGGAAAGACGCAGTAGTCGCCTAACATGACATACTACCCCAGCATTTGCCTGGAAGGACCGAGGAAAACCACAAAAACCTCAGTCAGGACAGTCAGTCTGCGGACTGAGCTTCAAACCTGGCACCTCCCAAATATGAAGCAGGAGTGCCAACCACATGACTTTGGCATTCAGTTACATCATGGAGGTGAATGGTCAACATATTCAGCGATGCACGCATTCATTCTTCCCTGTTGAAGAAGTTCTGCAGTGACGAAACGGTTCACCAGATCAGATAGCGGGAGAATTCGGAGGCGCATTCCTAAACTTATTCCGACAATCTGGACTGTTGGGTTTTTGGACTTTTCCCCATCGTCTGATTTTTTTAAAATTTGCAACAGATTTATTCTGGCAAGTTCAGTAAAAACGAGCATATTACAAAACAATCCAGTTTCAATACAAACACAAAATTCTCCATAATCAATTTTATTTTCACGGAGAAGATACTTCGGAACATATTTGTGGTGTGCCCTGCCCCTCATTTCTATACCTTACATAACTTAATGTAAGGGATCCTGTACATTACAGAAAAGGAAGATAAGTGGTTTTACTCACCTTAATTTGAACGCTTACATAACTTAATGTAAGGGATCCTGCACATTACAGAAAAGGAAGATAAGCGGTTTTACTCACCTTAATTTGAACAATGTTTGCAACTTTTCTCCTTTCTGCGTCTTCCTCCTCTGCCAAAGTTAAAACACGCTGAAAAAGAAGAAATGACATAAAATCCTAAACGCTGTTACAGCGAACCAAACCTCCTGCCAACGTTTCTAGAGCCATCTCACATTTATTTCCCTTTCTCTTTCATTTACATTTTAGAATGAGAGGAGCGCAGTTGGTTTCTGAACTGTGTTATAACCAAAACTGAGCGTCTACTATGCAACACTCCTTCAAAATGTCTCAATGCCACTCTGACCACTAGCTTTCATGTCGTTGTACGTCCAGTCTATTCTTCCACGGTAGCAGAGTCCTTCACAAAATTTGTGTGCACGATTGAAAAACTCCACTTTGTTATTGGAGGCAGGAAATGATAAAATACAATCAGTCGCCAATCAGATTTTACAGAGAGAAAAATTCTAGTCCAACGGATGGGTCAACATTTATAAAATAAACACGTCATAAGACAGAGGTTACATTAGCAGTAAAAAAAACAATTAAGCTTTTGAAGAATCGGTTAAAGCTGCGTTCACTGTTACGGCCATTACGCTAACACAGATAAGACTTCGCTGGCATCCGACACTTAGCACAAAAGTCATGGCTAGCAATGATAATGAGAGTAAAGCCAGGCAGAGCAAACAGCTATCAATAAAGAATAAAACAAGGCAATCGATGTCGTCACATAAGTAGGTGTCCCGATAACGTGGCAAATAAACAAAAAAAAACATGATTTTACCTTAAATCGCTTCTTTGTTTTCAGTTCCTTCAATTCCTCGGCGTCTGACTGGTCAGATATTTCTTTAAACTCGAGAGCACCACAGTTAATGTAGAAGCCACCATGTGCTGTAGTCATCTCCTCAGGAACAACCTCATCATACTGAAAGGGGAAAATATTTACATCATACTCCAACGTCACCTTGTTACATTAGACCCCCACATATAGCGTTAAAACAATTTATTATTCTTAAATAAAAAAATAATGTTTCCTAAACATTTTTTGCTATAAAACACCTCAGCCTAAAAAATGAGAGACAGAAACAAGTTATAGATATAAAAAAGATGTGTTATCTATTGTCTCGAGCACAGTACATATAATATCAGTACTTCATTCAGAATATATTAAAATTTTCTAGTATTTCTACCCGTACAAGACATACTGGGTCCCGCACCGTAGTCGCGCGGTCTGAGGCATCATGCTTCGGACCGGCGATACGGAATGCGCGCTGGTTCGAGTCTCGGGGGAGAAGAAATTTTCTCATGAGCTTTCGACCGGTGTATGGGACCGGTGCCAACCCAGCATCGTGAGGAAATTGGGGAGCTATGATCAGTAGCGTAATCCGGTCAGGAAAGCTAGCAGTGGCTGAGGGTTCGTCGTGCTGACCACACGTCACCCTATATCTGGTTGGATGATCGTTCACCTCTGCTTAGGCATGTGAACGTGAGGACAGCAGTCAAGCTAGTCGGCTTTGGCTCTCTGGAGCTGTTACGCCACGGATTTCATTTAATTTTTACAAGACATACTGGGGCTGACAAAGCCTCTTATACAACGAGTACCGGGGTCCTTTCCTGGGGGTAAAGCGCGGCCGGGGCGTGATGCTGACCGCTCATCCCCATCTGGTGCCAAGGTCAAGATTGAGTCGGAGCTATACCTTCTCTCCCGCCAAGCGCCTACATGGCGTATAGTGAGACAGCTTTACTTTACGAGACATACTATTATCCACTTATTCTTTGTATCTTTGTATCTTGCAGATACATCTGTGCCTCTTCTGTGTGTAGGTAGCTGTTTTACAATACATAACTGTAAACGCCACCTCAAAGAATATCTGATTTGTTAAATGCCAATATGTAACATGTAAGTTACTTTAAAATCCCGATTTCTGCGGTAAGGTCATTTTGCTCGTTCGCACAGAAGACTTGACAGGAACAACGTACGCTGATAAAGACAAGACAGTGTCAAACCCAAGAGACTGCACAGAATTAATAAGGGAACCATTAATAAGTCCATGTGACACATTTATTGGTTCAGATATGTTCTTAATCGTTTAGAGCGCCAAAACTCGGAACAAGGCACAATACACAGATAAGCAATAATTTCCCGCGTCCCTTTTCATTTAATTTCTATTTGTAATTTAGACAATGCACAAAGTACAAAAAATATTTTTACAAATTACAACACACCATCCCAAATCTAAAAGTTTGTGACGTTGGCGAGTTATTTAAATAAAAAGTTCCTTGGATGTTATCCATCGTCTAACAAAATAACAAAATTGAATGACGTTTCGGAGATAGGGTCCCATCTCTGAAATGTCGTTCAATTTTATTATTTAATTAGACGATGGATAACATCCAAGAAGCTTTTTATTTAAATTATACAACACATCATCACAAGAATTTATAGTTCATGGACTGTTCCTGAGATTAAAATCCGATGATGGACCTGCGACAGCAGCAATAAACAAAAACAAGGAAATTTCTTGACAAACAGAACAATTACAAATTCTCATGCAAGACCAAGTACCATGCAGATAATAATCACTTTTTACATATTGCAATTATTAACTGTGCTTTATGATACCTCTACCAACTTCCGCTGGAGTCACATTTCCACTTACAGCATCAGTGTTGTCAATGAATGGGTCAGTTTCATCGTATCCAGCACCGAGGTCAACATAATCTTCGTACCGGCCATGCTTCTTTTTACCTCCAACTCCCTAAAAGAATTAAGAAGAAATAATCCACTCACTAAGCAAAACTTATTTTCATATGCGATAAGCAGTTAAACTTCTCCTTTTAACAATGATGGCCGTGTCATCTGTGTACTGTAACTCTAAAGTTAATTTTTACTAACAATCGAAATTGACCTGAGATAACTTGGAAAAAAATCATTAAAAGTATGTAAACATTTTATAAAGTAAAAAAGTAAAGCTATCCCACTATATGCCATGTAGGCGCGTGGGGGGAGAGACAGTATAGCTCCTAATCATTTTTGACCTCGGCACTAGACAGGAGTGAATGGTCAACAACACGCCATGGACGCGCTTTACCCCTGGGAAAGGTCCCTGGTACCCATTGGATAGGAGGCCGGGTGGGCCCCAGAGTCAGTCTGGACGCAGCGGCTAGTGGAAAAATCTTCTGCCTCCATCGGGGATCGAACCCCGGTCATCAAGTCTGTAGCCAGTCCCTATACTGATTGAGCTTTTTTTGTAAGTGCAATAAAATATTTTCCATCGGAACACACATTGTTAATTTTATTTTTGTGGGTATATTCCAAAACTTGAAATAAAAAAAAATGTTGTTTGGATTATACTTTCACAAAAAAAATTAATCGGACAAGCGGTTAAGGAAAGGAAAACAGCCTCTGCATATTTTCATTCAAAAGCGTAATTACTAACTGCAAAATCTGTAATGAACATCCTAAATTTTCTTACTGTAGGTGTGCCATAGAAAATCAGTAAATCAAAACAGAAAAAGTATAGAAGGAACCCCAAGACAACCACAGCCATCAAAATCTTGGACTGTTATTTTCATATCTTTTTTTATTTTACAGTTGATATTATTTTATTCGTACTTCCAGCCCTATAGCTGTATCCTGCAATATTCCAATACTGCCTTCCAAAAAAAAAAAATGCTTATACACAGGCACACCATTATTTTGAAATGTCAAGACCAGACAAGCTGGTGAAGTGGTTAGTATTCCTCACTCACCCGCTCACTCACTATATGGTGCAGGAAATTCTTTGAAAAGTCAAACAATTTCTTTCGAAACACTTGGGAAACAAACATAGTTATTTCTCAGAAGAAAAAAAAAATATAAAGCCAACTCACAATGTGATTGAAACAATAAGTTGAATCCTCTGGTGAGAAAAAGGTTTGTATTCAAAGAAATAAATATAACGTGTTGGTGACAAGTGTACATTTGCTCTTCCATGTATATACAGTACTTACATATTTCTCTTCAAACTGCCTTGCAATTTCTTTCAATCTGTCATCATCATCTTCAGCAAGTGGATCGACTCCATTTACTTGGCCAACTGACTTAAGTTTTGCTTTCCTTTTCCTCTGGAAAATGAAAAAAATATATATATATATTTAACATACTATAACTGAAATATACATAAATAATGTCAAAATGTTGAATGGATCATTTGATGACAAGAAAAATAAACTAATTTAATATCATAACCATCTTATTAAACCCATTTAGCATACTTACGCCATCATACAACGTAAGAATTCTCAGCCTACGATATCCACCTTTTCTCATCTGCTCAATGACGGCCAGAATGTAAATTAAGGAAATCAACTGAAACTTCTTAAAAATTTCTTTAAAATGCTACTAATTCACTGTAGCAAACATTTTAGCATATTACTCAATAATTCTAACAAATCTGACATCACTCTTACTACTTCCTCATTTACAACTTAAATATTTAATTTACTCAAACTTTGGACAACACAAATCACATCACTGGGTTGAGAACTACAACTAAACTTGTTAAAAAAAAAATTTAAGTAAATTAAACAAGCCTGACCTAACCAGTAAACCAAATCCAGATACTGTAGAAATGTACACAACTCTAAATATGGAGAAAAAAAATATTTGTTTTTAAATACTTGCCAATCCACATATTTAAGTATGGTATCAAATGTATCAATGTCAAAATATTGTGCAAAACAAAAGGGCCATAGATAAAGTACAGTAAAGGTGTCCAACTATGCCATGGGGGCATTTTGAAAGAGTTACATCTTCATTTTAAAAATTCACATTCAGGAGACAAGCAGAATTTCTGAAATTTGCATCCCTTGCATGCCAGAAACTTATTACAACTGGTGTGTACATAACGGAACAGAATGTTTTGAAACCTATAGTTAGACAACATATGAGTCCAAGTAACGCAAAATTCAAGTGAAACTAAAAGTAATGTAAAATAGAGTAAACAAATCCTGTGTTTATTAGTGAGCCTTTGTAATTATTACACACTGCTTAATATTGTTTAACATTAATATAACGTGGATAAAATTAAAAGAGCTGTCAAGGAAACGTGGCTCTTCCCACGGGAAAGTCAGTCAAGGTGCGCTATGTATGACTATGAGGGGTGGTATCCTTGGGAATGTGCCAACACCAGAGCCAATAATTTAGATTTAAGTAAATCATGTAAGTAAGAACTATTCGGAAAAGTGTTAAACATGATACAGGTAAATATTGCACAGCAGAAGAGACCCCATAAATAATTGTAAATAATAGTCTTATAAACAGTCCTAAACGCATAGCAAACTCATTCAATTCTTACTTCCTAACTAGTAAAAGTACTAGTGGTGGGCCCTGAGGGACCCCATATGTAATACATATATTACTTGATAGATTGTCTTGCTAACACTCATTCTTTTTGTGACTTATTTGAACTGTCTGGCTTCTATTTGCAAGGTAAGACTGTTTAAGCATATGTGGGATACCATGTACCCCATACCAATATAACATGTCTATGATTATTTTGTGATGAACAGTCAACTACTTTTTACAGATCCAGAAAAAGGGTTCCTGCATAATTATTCAGTTTTGTTTGTATATATGATTTTATATTCCAATACACTGCACAGTTTGCAAGGTTTTACGATTGTATAATTATTTATTAAGAAACTAAATTATATTGTCCAGAACTTAAGAAACTACATTCATTTTGGATTTTTTTTTAAAGCCATACTGTGAACCATTAAAAATTTGTGTGGGATATGAGGTTTTCACGGCGGTAAGTCTGAGGATGGTTGTCTTCTGGGTTGTTGGGCCATGTAGTTTGGTAAAGTTTCCCGACGTTTCAGAGGTCCTTGCTGCCACAGAACAACTGTTAATCGTCCCCGATTTTTCAGAATTGTATATAAATGTTCTGCGATAGCTCTCGATTATTCTTTCGGACGATTCTTGCAAAAGTTTGTTATTAAAATTATACGAGTTTAATATATTTCCATTTCCGTTGTGTGGAACAGAAATTTATTTCGCGCTGATATGTTTATCTTTTTCATTATCTCAGAATTACAAAGCGTCGGAATTGTGACTCATCAATTACAGTCTACCGATGAAGTCCATGCCTACCGTCACGCACAATATGCTCGTCAGATCGCGAACACGTCAAGTGCCGTTACAGATGAATAAAAAAATCGGCGTCATACAGCAACGCCGGTGTAACAACCATGCTACGGCTCTTTCCTTGTCCATGACGGCCGTCAACAGGATTATCATCTAAATTGCTTTATCACCTTCTCTTTCTACCCTCCCCCTTCCAATGTTGTGATTCTTGCATTCTACGTGAGGTCCCAACTCCCCCACTACCTCCCACATCTTCAAATATGTCCGCTCGCCTAAAGCTGCCTCCTTTCGTGCCGTATTCCCTTCACAATGGCTGCAAACCCCGGCCTCACTTTCCAGTCCACATGGCTAGTAATATTATATTGAGACGCGCGCATTTCGCCGCAGTAGCAGGTCGCTAACCCCACAATCAGTTCCCATGCACCCCTCCCAGCTGAAATGCTGATAATCTATTCCCTTCCCACTAATTACCAAACCGTGTACAGACGGTAAACCATTTTCCAACATGGCATGGAACACTACCTGCTATCCCATTGCATCCTCAGACTCCCCACCCGCCACCATTAACGAGGAACACAAACGTTATGAATGCAGTGTGCAACTCGCTACATTACACCAAATTCAAATATTTTAAAACGTAAAGGTCAAGTTTCAATACACCACTCCGGATGACCACACGTGCTAACTTTAAATTAATACTCCAAACGAATACAAAGGTTAAATTTAAAAAACACCACATCGGTTGAGTACTGTCGATCACCCTGACTGCCCCACCCCTTCTGGAAAGGCCAGATACCTCAAAATGTCGAATTACAAGCCACCGTACCTTCTACAAAAGATACAGCTACCTTCAACGTATGTGGCACATAATTTTCAGGCCCATCTGTGGTCGGAACAATGTTTCACATTTCAATACAACCACGCACTTTTCGTCATGCATAACCTTGTCACAATATTATAAGCGGATATATTATG